AAACCTCTTCATTCTATCCACTTATGAAGTCAAAACTTACCATGCATCAGCCAAGCAATCCTTCCATATTAAATGCAAGCTTTTGAACTTGAGAATCTACTATCCTACAATCCTAAATGTTTCATTGAAAAGATTTATCTTGACAGAAAAACAAGTGCACTGTGCACTGTACCACATCTAAGTTAAGTCAAGAGGCCTCTCGCGATAACTCTAGATATATGGAACATGCTTGAAGGAGAACAAATTGAAATTAGCTCTAATGAATATAACCAACCCAATGATGATAAAACAAAGAAATTAGTTAAAATTTTGAGTGCCACTGCACAAACTCCAAACAAGTTGACCATATATTGATGATTGGAGAGAGAGCAATTTCCATTGAAATAAAGGAAGAAATATGGGAATTTTTTAAGGTACTAAACTCATTGATGATTGATTTATTGTTTTAGTTATAGAAAAAATTCAAGGTGAATGACTGAGTGAAGGTTTTCTCTATAGTTATTAGGTAAAAAGTGGAGGGATTGAAAATCCACTTTGAAGAGAGAGTATTATGACTCAGATCTAGATAGTGCAGAGACATTACCAATTGAGGAGCTTGAGGATCAAGTTGATTCAACCTAATGGGAAAACTTGGTACAATTTTAGAGGTCTAAAGTAGAGATTAGAAGTATGTTAAATATTTCAACAAATTTGTTTTTTATTTAAATGAACAAAAAGTTAATTTAATGTAGGCAAAATCTGCAACCAACAAATCTCATAGTTTCAAACAAATAGTTAAAAGAGTACGCAAGGAATTGGTAATTATACAAATTTGATATGCTTATTATACATTTATATTCATTTATTTTTTATTTGTTAAAAATAATTAATATATTTCTTGGTTACGGAGGTAGTTTTTGCAACACATAAGAAGAGGGATGGAACACTTTTAGATTCAATATTGGGTCATTTAATTAAGTGTGTATTAAATTGTTTTAAAATACTAATAATTTTGTATTATATTCAAGGAAGAAATGCAAAATTTCATGTCTCAGGAATTAGAAACCCAAAATGGAGGCAATGGAGAACAATAAGAAGATGTCTATATTCGGCGTGCTAGGTCAAAAGTGTTGTGGCCGAGCCATGATGATGTCTTGAAAGTTGTTAATGGAGGCTAAAGAGCAACTGAAGATCATTCATATAAGCTAGAAAATAAACTTATGTTAATGCAAGTACGAAGGGATGTAGTGGAAACTCTATTACTTAGTAAATGGGTATCATCCTTTTTTACATTTATATTTAAATTCTTTCTACATGAATATGAATGCATAAATTGATTTGATATTTATGTTTCATTACTTGTAGACAAGGATTGGGGGTGGGGGTGAATCATCTCAATTATGAATTGAATTGAAGGCACTCCTCCGCACATGCTTTTCAAAGTCCCTTTTACCACCAATTTATAGTTGTAACATTGAATCACATTAGTAAGTGTTATTTTCCCCTTGTGCCGTTTGATTTAAGCACAAATGAGATTTTATAAGGTGTTTGTTGACATGAAGAATTACATTTGTAAAAAGGCATGGAATGTAATTATTGATTTTCAGTCAAGGTATTGGAAAAGCAACAACCACAAGTATAGACCCTCAAAAGATTGTAGGTGGTGTGACGCTTGCTTATAGACGGACAAAAGTAAAAGTTGTGATTAGTGTTCCAATTATAAGTGGTGAATCACCACTACACCCATACGGATGCTATAGAATACTTGGAGCTGTCAATGAACCGGTTTTGGGTTGGACCTCGTCCAAACCAAAATCAATTTGGACAGATAGGATGGACCCAACATGACATATTGAATTGAACCAATCTAGACTTAATATTGGTCCAAAGCATTTATTGGATTGGATTGGGCCTGGTCCGTTTGTAATGAATTGGGCCAATATCTGGTCCATTAATAGAAGATAAGAAAATAGGTGTCAATGGGCCAGGTTTGGGTTGGAACAAATCTAAATTAAAACAAATTTGAATAGATTGGATGGTCTAGACATTGAATTGGACCGGTCGAAATGGTTCAAAATATTCATTGGTTTGAATTGGACCTAATCCACTTGTAAAAATTTGCAGGTTTAACCATTATGCCAAGTGGATTTGTGCTACAATATGTGCCACATTATTTGAGAATTTAAATTTTTTAATGTTTGGATATTGTATTTAAACAATTTTTTAATCTTCAAATTAATAAATTTTGGTTTAAACTACACTTTTCTTGTTTATGTTTTCATGTATCAATTGTCATGTGATTTGTACCGGTTCCATTTTCCCCAAAAACCGGTTTTTTCCCCAAAACTATTGATTTTGGTCAACAAATCGCTGAACCGGCCGATTAACCGTTTGAATCGTTCAAATGGTTTTGATCATTTTTCAATTTTTTTTTTTTGGTTTTTTGTCAGAATGGGCTGGCCGTTTGAGTTGAACAGTTAGACCGTTCGAACCAGAAACCGGACCCGACCAGTTCGGTTTTAAAAACCATGAAAAATAGCACTAGGCCCGTGGTTTTAGTACCACCATCTAAAGAAGTAGGCGATGTTTAGTAAGATATAAAGTGGGGTCAGACAAGATCTGAGGTGGCAATTCAGACTGTCCCTCAAAAGAAATAAACCATTTTTGGCAATAACTAAATCCGCCTTTAATAAGGCTAAGTTGGCGGTTCTGATAGAATATTCCTCAGTTTCTATCTTTTTGGCAAACAGAATTCACTTTGTGAGATTCCAGATTTCCTGCATGTGAGTCCTGCATAACTTCCTGTGATCCCAATTGCAGGGCGCCATGTCAGAATTGCATCGTAAGTAGATTTCTCATGTGCGAGTAAAATTAATCGATGTTTCAAACATTTTGAATATCTTTATAATTTAATTTATAAAAAAATTACAATTTAATTTAGATGAAATAAAAAATAGAAAAATTCCTAAAATTTCTGAAAATAGGGTTTCATATTCCTTCTTTCGCTCAAAGCTTTCCATCACTTAATTGAGCATGCATGAGCACCAACAGACCACCGATGAAACACATTTGAGATGAACAATAAAGTTATTCTGTTTTACCTTTTCTTTTGATTTTTTTAAGCAAATAAACAGTGGGAATCTTAGAATAAAAAGCTGCCTTCTATTTTGAATTTATCATATAGAAGATGAGGCATATGAGAGTTAGGGATAGATTCTGGATGCGGGGATGCGAGTCATGTGTTGTCTTGTTAAACCAAGCTGCAACAACGGTAGAGTTGAAGCAAATGCATTGTTTGGGTGGTGTAGAAAGTTTGAATCTGTATATTTTGTACATTAAATGGAGAAATCTGTGACTGGTCATATATCCCCTCTATTCCGACTTACTTTTGAGATTTTCATTTCTAATCTAATTAATGATTTAGATAAAGGTCAAAATGAGTTCCTGCATTGATTCTCAGCTGTGCAGTTCTCCATCCATAGTCGGTTGGTGCTCAAACTTGCAGTTCTCCATCCATAATCCATCAGTGCTGAAGCGTGTTGCTCGGTGGAGAAAAGCAAAGAAATAGTGTTTAAGAAAGTTAGAAGAAACCCAAAGAGATAGACATAAAAACCCTTCTTTTATCCCTATTTTTTATTCCATTTAAATTTTAATGTAATTTCTCTTATCTTAAAAATAATAAGGTGCACGAACGTTTCAAACGTCTGTTAAATCTCCTCGCGCATGAAAATATGCATGTGATGCCAATGCTGACATGGCGCCCTGCAATTGGGAGTGCAGGACGCCATGTGCAGGAATACAGAGTCACTTTACAATTACTCTCTTGAACTTTTGTTTTGGATGCCACTCTTCTCTCTCCTCTCTCTTCTGTTGAACTTTTACCAAATATAACGTGTTGATGTAGGACTGGCCCGCTTCAAAAAATAAGAATCAATGCACGTTGATGAATGCATAATGCCTTATGATGTTTTATATTCTTTGTTTTTTAAGCATAATTTTATGGGAATCGCACCTCGTCAATCAATTCTCTTGACAAGAAGCAAAGCACCTCACTAAATGTTTAAAATCAGGGAAGCAATTCTTAGAATCAGATGGAGTGATTAGCTGTATTTGTCTGTTCTTTTTCAGCCAAAGTAAGTGTTGATGAGTAGCTTCCTCCGTGTGTAAAACCAGAGCTTTTCTGGTTTATTTTTCTCTGTCTTTACATATATATATATATATATATATATATATATGAATACAGCTATCGAATCTCCTAAATTTACAGGGATTGAAACCTATCTATCTTATCTAAACTATACAAGATAAGGATAAGAAGATATATTGAATGGAGACTCTTAATTTAATCCCAACACCCCGAATGTCCAACTTGCGAAGAAAGTACTCAAATTCTTTACGACCTAGTGCCTTTGTAAAAATATCAGTCAGCTGAACGGTAGTCGACACATAAGTAGGACGAATGCAATCATTTTGAATCTCATCACGTACAAAATGGCAATCAACTTCAATATGTTTCGTACGCTCATGAAACACTGAGTTTGATGCAATATGCAAGGCTGCCTAACTATCACAATATAATCACATTGGGGTTGAATGCGTAACTCCAAGAGCCAATAACAATCCCTTCAGCCATTTCAATTCACACGTGGCAGTGGCCATAGAACGATACTTTGCTTCTATTGAAGAACGAGCCACAGTATGTTCTTTCTTAGTTTTCCAATAAATAGGCGAGTTCCCAAACAGAATAAACCATCCAGACAAAGAACATCGGGACAAAGGATAGCTTGCCCAGTCTGAATCACACCATGCATGTAACTGTAAGTCACANGCGTAACTCCAAGAGCCAATAACAATCCCTTCAGCCATTTCAATTCACACGTGGCAGTGGCCATAGAACGATACTCTGCTTCCGCTGAAGAACGAGCCACAATGTGTTGTTTCTTAGTTTTCCAGGAAATAGGCGATTTCCCAAGCAGAATAAACCATCCAGATAGAGAACGTCGGGACAAAGGACAGCTCGCCTAGTCTGAATCACACCATGCATATAACTGTAAATCACAATCTGAACGCAAGAGAATTCCTTGACCAGGATTTCCTTTCAAGTAGCGCATCACCCGCAATGCAACATCCCAATGTCTTTCTTGCGGTTGCTGCATGAATTGTGACAGAACATGCACACAATAAGACAACTTTGGATGGGTTGCTGAGAGATAAATAAGCCTGCCCACCAAGCGCTTGTATCGCTTAGGATCAGATAAGAGAGGCCCATCTGTCAAGGCGAGATTGTGATTCTGCTCCAGAGGAACAGGAGCAGGTTTTGCACCAAGTAATCCAACTTTATAGATAATATCTAAAGCATACTTACGTTGAGACAGAAAAATTCCTGTTGAGTTTCGCGCTACTTCAATGCCTAAAAAATATTTCAATGGTCCCAAGTCTTTCATATGGAAGCAGTTACTCAAATATTTCTTGAAGACTTGAATTGCCATACGATCATTACCTGACACAATAATGTCGTCCACATACACAAGAACAAGCACATGCACCCTATCTCGACGAAAGGTGAAGATGGAATAATCTGAACATGATTGCTGAAACCCATATGTCTTCAAGGTTGCAGTTAATTTAGCAAACCAACATCTCAGTGCTTGTTTCAAGCCATACAAAGATTTTCGCAACCGACACACCATACCTGGTTTATCCGACTGAAAACATGAGGCATTCACATGTAGACTTCCTCATGAAGGTCACTATGCAAGAATGCGTTATGTACGTCCATTTGATGAAGCTCCCGATTTCTAGCTGTTGTAACTGCAAGGAATAACCATTTTTGCAATTGGGGCAAAAGTTTCATTATAATCAATTCCCTCAACTTGCTTGTTCCCAAAAATCACAAGACGGACTTTGTATCTTTCCATTGTCCCATCAGCGTTACACTTGATTCGATACACCCATTTGCATCATATGGCTCGTTTTTCGGATGGCAAAGGCTCCACAATCCATGTCTGATTATTTTCAAGTGCCTGTATTTTTTTCTACATTGCATCCCTCCATTTTTCATCCTTTACGACCTCAGCAAAAGAAGTAGGTTCAACTCCTGTGGTGATAGCTGCCAAGAAAGCACGATATCGACAAGAAAAATTGTTACAGTTCACATAGTTATCTATGGGATAAGGACTACCTGCAGAAGGTGATTGGCTAAGTGAGCTTGCAAAGGGACGCGGAGAGGGACTCAAGCGCTGTGTGCTCAAGCACTCTGAATTTCATTTGGGGTGTGGTGTGAAACACATAATCTCTCAACCTTGTGGACTGCTGTTTCTGTTGATGCCCATGCCCCAAATGAAATTCAGAGTGCTGTTGTTGCTCAATATCGCCACCCCCTGACATCAGGACCGTCTTCGCTTATATTTTCTGTGGTGGCATCACAAGAATGCATGGGTTCACCAGCATTTGCATTCGGGTCCACGCAGGTTCCTTCTTCAGCGGGTTCACCTCACTGGTTAGCCTCCATCTCGCCATTTGCTAGTCCAGGTAAATAAGCGGATGGTACCAACACCTCATCTATCCCACCTATTCCAAAATTAAATTGGCCTTGTGCTTTGTTCGGCTGTGCATCTTCCTTGTGTGCATACAGGAATTCATGCTCTAAAAAAGTAACATCTCTTGATGCAAAGAACATGTCGGACTCTAAATCATAGAAGCTCCATCCTTTCTTTCCAAAAAGATACCCAACAAAAACACACCATCTGCTTCAACTGACAAATTTATCCCCTCCATGTCCATGATTGTGTGCATATGCTAAGCAACAAAAAACTCGCACATTATCATAAGAAGGAGGTCGCCCAAATAACATTTCATAGGAGTCTTTCCCTTCAACAGAATGGACGGTGTCCGATTGATCAAATAACATGCGGTCAGGACACATTCCCCCCAAAAATCAATAGGCAAGCTGGCTTGAAAGCGCAAAGCTCGGGCAACATTGAGTATGTGGCGGTGCTTGCATTCAACCCTCCCATTTTGTTGAGAGGTCCCGACACAAGTGGTTTGATGAATAATATCACTTTCAGCAAAATAACTAGCCAAGCATACAAACTCAGTCCCATTATCAGTACGGATCACCTTTACAGGTTTGTTAAATTTCCTTTGAACAAAAAAAATTCGAAGAACTCATCCCACTTCCGTCTTATCAATCAGAAGATAAGTCCAAACGCCTCTAAAAAAATCGTCTACTATGGTCAAGAAATAATGAGCACCACAAGAAGCTGTAGTTTTATAAGGACCCCACAAATCACAATGAATTAACTCAAAAATGTCGAATGCTTTATTATTACTAGAAACAAATTCTTCTCGACATTGTTTAACTCGGAAGCATGCATCACAACCCTTAATACTGTCATCGTTATTATTCTTAGTACTAATAAAAGGCAACAACTTAACAATTCTATAAGAAGGATGCCCTAACCTTTGATGCCAAATATCACACGTCCTGCTCTCTGTAGTCTTCGTTGCTCTTGTTGATGCAATGCTCCGGAAATAATAGAGTCCCTCTCGCTTCTCACTCGTTCCAATCAGCATTCTCGTAGTGTGGTCCTGTATCACATAGAATTTATTAGTGAATTGGACAATACAATTTGATTCCTCAATCAATTGCGATACGGAAAGTAAATTACAATTTAAACTAGGCACATATAAAACACTAGTTAGTTTCAAATGATCGTCTAGTGCAACTGTGCCTTCTTTCTCTGCTATTATCGCTTTCCCATCTGGTAGTCCGAGAGAGCACGGAATGACATTCTTTATGTCTCTCATCGATTCGATGCTTCTTGTCATATGATGAAAGGCCCCTGTGTCTATTATCCATCCTGACAATTTTTGCATACCACTTAGTCGTTGACTCCCCTCTTTCTGTGTGTTCAAAAGGTTGAGTAACAAGTTCCACTGCTCACTACTCAGTCCATTTAACCCAGTCTTGGCTGCACCAATTGATTCTCCTTGAGACCCATTGCCTTGCGTAGAGGCTTTGGCTATATGGGCCTTGACTTGGCCGCCACGACCTTTTCCTCCTACCCCTGCTCATTTTTCTCTATTTTCAGCCATACCGACTATTGTGTCTGAAAACCCACCTCAGGAACTACTTCGAGGACAACCCTACCTCGTCACACATGAGCTATTATAACAAATCTGACAGGTGTTCTCAGTTGTTGCTCGAGCTGGGCTGGTTCTAGCTGTTGGAGTCTCGGTGGGCTGATGCCGTACTTCACAAGTCTTGATAGAAATCCAAATCCCAAAAAGACAAAAGGGAGTTGAATCCTCCTACTGTGATTTCGACGTGATGGTGGTGGTTACAACCGCAATTTAGGCGATCGTGATCGCGGGTACGAAGATCGTGGATCTCACTACTCGAGGGGTGATGGGTCTTCTGACAGAAACTTGAGGAATTGATGTGTCGAATATGTTTAGGTCTGGGTTTGGGTTGTTGTGTGTTCCTTGGGTATTCCGTAGATGTTTTTGGAGCTCTTAATGTTCTAGGTTCTTCTACGAGAGCTCCCGTTTTCGACCGTTGGTAATAGATCGCCGCCGCTGGAACGACTCCCACCTCTTAGTGTTTGCTAAAGAGGAGAAACCGCTACTTCTGCTGGCTGCCCAAAAATAGAAGACGATTAACAGTTTCAGCCCAACGGAACTTCTGTACAAGAGGAAGACCGAAGAACTCTGCAGAGGTCTTGTCTGATCTGCGAGAATCGGAACTCAGAACGGACCCGCCGGTTGCAGCCTTGTCAGGACGAAGGCGAAGATCGAACTCTACGGAAGACGGAGTGTCGAACGGAATCTGGAGTGCAAAGTCTGTCCTTTCCTGGCACCGAATAATGTCGTTGCCGTCACTGATCTCCAGAGGTCTTGGAACACAGACCTCTCGCTTCCGTTTCGTGGCTATGATACCATGTAAAACCAGAGCTTTTCTGGTTTATTTTTCCCAGCACCGAATCGAATCTCCTAAGTTTACAGGGACTCAAACCTATCTTTCCTATCTCAGCCATACAAGATAAGGATAAGAAGATATATACAAAATCTTGACATTAGCATAGAGAGTAGCAGAATTTGATATGCAACTTTGACGTAAATAAAAAAAAAGGGAAAACCTATACAAAAAAGGGATTTGGTTCATCATTTCCACTTATTTATATCGTTTTTTTCCACATAAATTATGGTTTTTATTTCGCTGAAATACATCACTATTCACTACGAGTCACTTTACATCTTCAGAAATCCATTGAGGATTTAAACATCCAAGAATTCCTTTGAAATATCTGCTGAGGCAGCTTGTATATTGTGTTCTTTATCCTCTTTTTCGCAAGTTAAAGAGGAGAGTTCTTGAGCTTTTTTGCTGAATTTCTGGTCCCCTTCTTTGCCCCATAATATCAAGTAGAGACCGATGATGACAGTAACCCCTCCTAGCACCCTAAAGATGCCCAGAAGAAAAATATTCAGAACCTTTAATCTCTCTCTCTCTCCCCTCTTGTGGGTGATCGATGAGTAGAAACATACCTGCCCAAATAGAGCTTTTCACCAATCACAAAGTATGCCACAAATGCGACCATTATAGTTCCTAGAGGATTAAACATGGTCACAAAAACCGGCCCTCTTTGTTCTGTGCACCATAGTTGAATGAAGATTAGCAAACCAGAGCAAACCACTCCCTGCCACAGATTTATTAGCACTAGTTCAGAGTTCTGAAATTTTTGAATTTTGCAATTGAAACTGTAAGACTGTGTAGATTGCTTCTTCTTACTTACAGCATATAAGATTGCCCAAAAATCAACGTTGAATCCAATTATCCATGCTCTGGGTTTATGTTCTACGAAGACCGTGAAGACAGCTGATTGTGCTCCTCCAATAAGGCACAACCATGTGGTCAGTGAAAGCTGTGCTGGATATCTCTTCAGTGTGAATGCCTACAAATTTATTCACAAAATGAAAGAGGAAAAGTAGATATACTCATTAAGCGATGTTCTTTCCATTCCCTTTTATCTCTTGATCATTCTTTGGGTTATTCCATCCTAATATTTCAGCACTTTCTCTGAATATCTTTCCTTGGAAAGTTAAACTAAGCCAGTCCAGAAGAAGTGAGAATTATACTGCTTAATTAATACCTGCATGATATACCATCCCGACCAAGTGATGCAGCTAGCCACAGTAAGAATCGGACCCTTCAACCAATTTTCATGGATGCTACCATTTCCGATATTGATTAAAGCAGCCGATATGTTTCTTGCTGCAGGACCCTTGTACAGTGTCATAGTCATGACAGCAGCCAAGGAAACCAGGGTCCCAACAATTTTTGCTATCCCACGAGGGTTTGTAACATCAACAACCTCCAACCTACATCATATATATCCAGCATTAAATTAAAGCTTCAGTTCAAATCCCATGCTAGACTGATCATGAACAATGTCTATATATCTGTAAATGTTTCTCTGCAGGCTTTCGGCTTATAAGCTTTTGCTTTTGTGGATCGTCTCACCTGAATACAACCGCAATTACAAAGGTCAAGGCAGCAATGGTGTTGAGCATGGACGTAATGAACGTAGGAGAGGTGTATCTCAAGCTTGCTAAATACATGTTCATGGTTAAACTGATCCTGCAATCAGAATTATATATATTAAGCAAATTGAATCATCTATTAGTCCTTTAATTTCCATTTATCAGCTCATGAGCTATATATAACTAAAATGTTATTGCATGCATGCATGTATATACATATCCTCACCCAAAGAAAGACAGCAGAAATATCTCAACAAACAACGCTAATGTCAGCTTAGGTCTTACTTTTCTGCGAGAAATTAAGAAATAAAGGAAGGTGATTAGGTATTAATTGTTTGATATGGTTGAAAAAATTAATTAATGATCAAGATACTGAATATATATTGTCAGATGTTGCTAAACATGTACGGTGCGTGTGATATAAATTAATACGTACCTTTCAAGAAAAAATGCAAAAGGAAACAGCGCTAAACCAGCTACAATATGTCGGTAAGTTACGAAGACATGAGGATTCATTCCATGATTGAACGAAGCTTCTGTAATAAAGTAGAGGAATGTATAACCTATCTGAACAAGAACAATGAGGAGGTGTGGTTTGAACCTCCTATAAGCCTCCCCAAATCTACTAGCCTTGAATGCCATTATTAATTACTTGTTAAACGTAGACAGCGCACAAACTCTCTAGATCTGTCTCTCTGTTTATGTTTGTCGCTGTGGAGGAAAGAAACACGAAATGCAGATATTTATACATGGATAATGATCGATGGGGTAGGCTTTGATTCTTCTCGTATTCTGTTAGGCGCATCATGTTCCATTTGAACAATTTCCCACTTGTAAATTGAAAAGTAGTAACCCGATAAGATGGAAGAATAATATTCTTTTTCCATGTTTAGTCAGATGGAGCTGTCAAATTTAGTGTTCTAACGCTGGAATCAATGCCACTTACAGTAATGGAATTAGTAACACACAAACCATCATCTTCTTCCTGCTGGCTAGCTACAAATTGTGAGCCTTCCCATGAATCATTATGTGCTTTATTGTATTGTATTAAGGTAATTATACATAATCTAATTTTTATTCTCAATTGACAAACTGAAACAAACAGTCCAGCAAACTAAGAACTCTGTCTCTCTCTCTCTCTCTATCATGGCTTTTCTTATATATTAATTAAGGTTCAATGTATAGATATGATACGTCCGATATTGGACATCTCATATCAGATTTTGACAGGATTGCCATGTGTATTGGAAAGCGTGGAATAATGCTACTAGCTAGATGGCGAATACGTAATTTACAAATTTCACCACTAACTTAGTTACTTGTAAGGGCCCTTTTGAAGCCTTATTGAACTGCTTTCAAGAATCTTACTAAGGGCATGTTTGTGTTGACTGAGCTGCTTTGCTTTTGAGAGAAGCTAAGATAACTTCGTCGAAAAGTCGATTTTGGCTCATATAAGCCTATTATTTTCAACTTTTAGGTTTTTAAACAAAATATGGCTTAATGGATGAAAGTCCTCCCAAACGGGCACTCAAACCTGGGATTACTCATTTGACATACAAGTATAGCGAACATGGGCCGGGCTGGGCCTGAATACAAAACCTTGGGCCTAGGCCAGAATTTCCATGCCGGGGCGGGCTGAAAATGATCACTCCTACATATAAGCATCCTCGTCACTATACTACACCACCTACCACCACATGTCAAAATAGAATAAAGCCAATGTTTTAAAAACCAACCTGGAACCGGTACCACTTTGACCACTGGTTTTTGGGTCAATAGTTCAACTGTCCAATTTGAATGAATAGCTCATTCTAATTTAAAAAATAAAAAATGGCCAAAAATTATTGTCCAAGTCAAATAGATCTATGATTCGACCACCCGGATCAGGCAGTCACTGACCAAGTCAACAATTATTGGCTAAGATACAAGTTGTATGGTTTCTGAACCAAATGGTCCGACCATCCGGATCAACACGTTTAAAAAACCAAGGAATAAGCACTCACTAGAGCATTTAATAAGCTGTCCTACTTCAAAAAAAAAATCCTTAAAAGCTTGTAAAAATCTAATTGGTCCCACCATTCGCTTTTAACTTGTTAGTATCCCACTAGGGCACTAAAAGCTACGTCTGATGTATGTTCAAGAGTGCATATAATTAACAGAAGAATACATGAGCAGCATGTGGTTTTATTGAAGGAACAAGCTAGAGCTAGAGCTAGAGCTAGAGGTAAAATATTCCTCGCTTGTGTGGTGGCTGTTTTTATCAACCAAAACATGTGCTTCATTAAGAAAGAATTGTTTCTCTCCCTCTGGTGATAGCTAGAAGGCGAGAATCCAGTGTCCAAGATCCAATGAGCTAAATTCACCATTAACAGGAATATAATAGACCTCAGCTCTAATATTTATCCTGACCTAGAGAGAGAGAGTGGAATTAGCCTTTTTCTCATTCCAATGAAACAACCGATGACTTCATGCATGCACCAGAGTGTTTTGTGGATAGGTGTGTCTAATCCAAGGGCTTGTCATGCAAGCTGATCAGGCAAACAGAGATTCGTTGAATACGTTGGGGCTTGTCACTGCGTCTGTTACGTTGGGGCATTTGCTTTCTCTGAATTCAATTCATATTATTTGTCGCAGAATTGAGAACTCCAACATGTTGCATCTCCCTTCACTTAATCTCCCTACACTGTTATCCTCAGTTCAATGACGTTTATTAAAAATATAAGTACATAAAACTAAAAGATATTTCTTTGTCATCCAAGCCAATGGTCCCAAGCCCATTTGGATGAAGAGATGATCCCAAATCTATTAGGGAGGGATGGCATAATAAATTTCACTGTCACTTAACTTTGGTTCATGGCAAACTTGAATGAAGGGATAATATAGTAAATTTCTGAAGGGAGGGCTTTGGAGATTTTGAAAAATTAATGGGGAAAATGAAGGAGAATATTAGATTATAATCCAAAAAAAAAAATGTGCATAGATATAATGAAAGGAAAATAAAACCAACCTGGATCAATCTGCTGTGCCCAACGCGCCTGTGTTTGAAATAAGAAATCAGTTGATATGATGCCTTGAATTTATTTAAAACACTCGTGTATTCCATATATTTCATTGGGTTTCCCTGCGTCCACGGTCACAGCAGATGCCATCTCTAGATCTCTTGCATTTTTCTGCACTTTCATTTCATATGTATCAAATCTTGCATTATAAATATGTGTATAAATGTTCATACATATATATAGAAATCACACTTGTAATGGTATACCTTCTCAAGAATCCATCGTTCAACATAAAGCTTATAAGCTCTTAGTGAGGTCTCTGAATAGTTTTCTTTTTTTTTTTTGTTTAATTCTCTAACACGTTCCTCACATGAAAGCCCTATTGGGCTTGGAGCATGGATACTGAATAAATACAGGCTCACCCATACCTTATGCTGAAATTTAATTTATTATAATAGGAGTGATTGAGAATTGAATGCTAGACTTGATCAAATAGACTCATATCATAGGTAGGGCTAATGGACTAGATCAGCGGCCAGCGGGTATATCCGATCCAGTTTGATAAGAACCCGTTGTGTTTCCAGAATTATGATTCAAATATCTTATTAGATATCCGGTTCAATTTGGATTATAGGAAAAAGAAAACTTGACGATATAATATAAACAATATATTATATTATTATATAATATAAATAATATATTGTAATATATAATATATAATCATATAAACAATATATATAATATATAATATTTCATAACTAATGGATCGAATTGGGTCGTGACAGAATAGATCGAGGTATATTCAAATTCAATCCATTATCTAAACAAATCAGCTTTTCCAATTCGATATGATTTGTTAGGATTACGGGAGATATCTCCAAATCCATCTGTATTGAATTCAAATTGAAATCGAATCTGATCCAATTTATTTGGAGCCGAACCATTCAACCTAAAAAAATGTTATTGCTGTGAAGGTGGGGTCTCTAAATAGTTTTTTTTTTTAACACCTGTCACAGAATGAATGGTAATGCAGTCAAAGAAAGCAGAAAAAAAAAGTGTAAGAGATGGGATGTTTGGTTTGAAGAAAAAACTAGGGATAGGAAAAGAAAAGAAAGGAAGTGAAACCTTTACAAATCTTGTATAGGTTTTTCTTCATTTCCCTTCCTTTCCCTATTTTTTCCTTCAAACCAAACATAACCTAAAATAAGTCGAATAGACTAGCATAGGACAAAAGTAACTAGGTTGATCCACAGAGGGAATATTGGCCAACAAAGGGATATGTGGTCGATGGACGACTTCAAATCCTATTCTTTCCTACTCATAAAAAATCTACTTTTCTTAATAAGCCTAAACCAAAATAAATAAATAAGAAGTTGAACAATCCAAGTTTTTTTTTATTTATTTATCTCTACCAAGAAAGTTAGCTAAGAATTCTTCATTAATTTTTCTACTCCTCCAAAAATCCAGTGAACAATAAGAAACCAATGAACTCTTCGCCCTATGGAAAGACATGTTCAACGAAACCTTTTATATATATATATATATATATATATATATATATATATATATATATATATATATCCTGCAATATTGTTTTTCCACGAGTCTCGAATATATATGGGGAAAAGAATAGAAGATTTACATTTTAAAGTTTAAACTGAAGAGTGAAGATAATGGATTCCCAGGAGAAGTGGCAAACAGGGTTATCCATAATTGTGCCAGTCTGACTAAAAAGAAAGATGTGGAGAAGAACTTTAATTTTGATGGTGCCAAGGAACTCTACCATGCCACCCCCAGTATTCCATATAATAAGTCATCAATTCTTTCTCTGCACTCTACAGCCACTCTTATTAAGAATCCCCATTCCTTTACACGGTAGCAGTGGTCAAACCATATTCAAACAAATCGTGGAAATTAAACTCTTTTATTCCCCATTAATTATTCTCATTTGTAGTATGGAAGCAAAATCTTAAACTGCTAGCTGACGTTCTTGAACAAGTTTTTATGTTTTAACATGCCTATTCTTTGTGTTAAAATTTAATTAATTATAATGAGATACTGAAGATCGAATACTAAACCACTTTATCAAATTGGCTCTGATATATATCATCTCAAGAAATTGTTCAACAGGTAAGGTCTCTGAATAGATTTTTATTCTTTTGACACTCACTTTCTTTTTCTCTCATATTTCTATTCAAACCAAACGTAACCTTAAAAGTTCTGACCGATCAGGAGTGTAAAGATATTCACCATGCTTAAGAAATTGATTTGATGAAAACCAAAATGAAAGATCATAGCAGATTCACATTTAGTCCAAAGATGAAAGATGGATTCAAACAAATCGACAGATACATATTTATAGCCATATTGATGAATTGAACAGCTTCTACTCTGATTCCTTCTTTCACTTTTTTTTTTAAATGAGAATCATATACAGACTCACTTGGTTCCGTATACTATATGATGATGGGATCCTCTCTCCATAACGGTAGGTGACGGCAGCTGCTCGATTCACATATATGATTGATTATCCATAAAAAATAATTAATCCTATTCTTGCATGCTCAAATTAGCCAAAATCTAAACCAACTCCTTATCTATTGACCACTTATCAACCACAAGTTATAAATCAATTAAAACTCCATAAAAGTTAAGTCAATTACCATTCTAAAGCTGGAATTACCATGGAAGTGCACAGTCACAGTGTGGAATATTTTCTCATGCTAGTTTGTTGGTTTAGAATCTAAATTTCCAGTTTTGAAAGAGTACAGCAATTAGGTGATTGATTAATGCACAGAAGTACTCCAGAATGAACAAGCAGACCAGATTCTTATAAGGGTAACGTGGATCAGATGCGTTTTCCTTATGTCTAACTATTTATTACAGGTTCGGCTTATAAGCTGCTAATGCAGCTTAAAGACCTTAAGGCTGTGTTTGGTTGTAGTGCAAATTTATTCGCATTGATGCAAAATTATAGTAGTGCAAATGATTTAAATGCAAATTCTGATATACTTTTGTATCAAATTTTACAAACCCAAAACTAAAATAAACGAGAATTTCAATTCTTTTCATTTGCACTCCCATGCATTTGTATCAGTGCAAATAAAATTGCACTGAAACCAAAGACAGCCTAAAGGAACCTGCCGCCAGTCACTCTGATAGCCATTCAATTGCTTGGTTGCCTTCTCTCCAGGTGTGGCTTCTAATCTGAAGTTTTCCTTCAACATTTTGCATTCGTTTGCTGAAACCATGGCGGTTGATCATTTTTCATAGGCAGTCGATGATGATGCCAAGTGGCCATCTCAGCTACTGGATGCGGCCACTACTTTTTGATTTGATACAAACTAGGAATCAACTAAAATGGTGAGTCTGTCCGAATTACCGCTAGTGAAGTAACAAGGCATTGTCTTTTGGTAACTTCTTAATCATTATGGTGGTGGTCTTTGGTTTTCTTTTTTCTTTTATTCTTTTTTTATTTTTCAATGATACACAGGACAGGAACCCTGAGAATCACTGAATTAGGGAGGAAGAGAGAAGAAACTGAGGAGTATTTAAAGGGATTTGACGGAATTTCGTACACCCCAACACCCAGCTTTTGGTACTAACAAGCAACAATAAATGGGGCGGTGCCTCTCCTAGTCTCCCTTCTGAGGAATATTCCCAAGACTCACCACCGACCATATGTACCAGTGATGAGATGTTCCCACTTCCCAGAAGATGATGATTTTCCTCACTGACCACGATTCGCATCACCTTAACGTGGGGAAGCTGCCGCAGTTGCACAAAGAGAAGGCAAACTCATGTTCAATCAGCAAGAAAAGGAGAAGGTGGCTGCCTAAATGGGACCCTTTTAATAGACGGCCACAAGGTTGGTGTTGATCAACTCAATGGACACAGAACGTTTGGAATTGAACCCTTTCTGAAGCATCTCAAATACCCTGTTTGTGAAGTATTACAGCTCCCTCTAATCTGTCAGCAGAAGTGGGGAGGTATATATACCAAATTGATCAGAAAAAAAAAAAAAAAAAGGTGAGTGAAGGCCCAGTGGCACATCATAATGTGTTAATGCAACTTTAATGGCTCTATTACTTACATATTTTGAAAGGAGATGTCGTAACTTCGCCATAATTCTTTTTCCTTCATTTCTCATTGCCATGTTTCATTCATGCGTGTGTAGTCCGCCATGGCCAATCACATCCACCAATCATGCCAGATTGGACATCATAACAACAATATTACCAGCATCAATTAAAGATCAAAATTTTGATATATATCAGGCCGTATCAACTGCTGCGTATTGTATTGGAAGGTCACCGATAAGTATCTACAGGGGTTGTTTCGGAGTGTGCCATGGAGGGTCCTTGGCTCCCCCCCCACCCTTTTATTAAAACCATCACTTATATGTGGTTACTAAGTGGGCTATTGGAGGTTGGATCAAAATCTAATAACCAAAAATCAACTAAAATGTAAAGAAATACTCTTTCGCATTCCTCCAACTCAGAAAAAAAGTTATTTTTTCTTTAAAAAAATGTAAGAGAACCAGACTGTCCCCGAAAAAGAAAATTCATGGCTCTGCCACTGGTTCAGAGGGTAGACGGGCGTTAAACCAACCCCTATCAACCAGATTGAAAAAAAAACCCTTAAAAAAAAATAAAAGCGAGTTAAGATACAGGCCGATGTGCTGAAGACATTTTGATCCTTGTCATTAGTTCACCATACACATGTTTTTTAGTAAACCAGAGGAGATTCCTCTTGAGCATAATTGCCATAATTTGCTGAAGATATATCATGGTCACCATCCAAACATGATGAGAATTCACACCTTGATCCATCCTGTTCTTTGGTAAGTCTATTACTAACTTTCACCGATTGCGTTCATCTCTCATTGTTCATCAGGCCGAAACAGAATCTAGTGTTTAAATTATTCCAGTTATACTATCGATGAAACAGCAATCAGAAGTTGGCATGGTTTTATTGACAATGCAAATTAGATGGTTGTTGGATAATGGAACCAGTTTCACCATCAGTTGGTTTTTGAGAAATATGTCGCATGATTGACCGGAGGGGGGTAGTGAGTCTAGTGACAACAAAACAGGAAAAAGGTGACCATCCTGGATGAATTGGAATACCAACAGAGGTCCAAATTTTTATGTAAAATTATTGTCCTAAAACCAAAAGCTGTGTAAAAAAAATAGCAGTGACATTGGAACCTCCAAAGACAATTCTTCAAATTTCGTCAGATAGAATACTTTCAATTTTCTTTTTCTTTTTCTTTTTTTTTATACACAGTTTCGTCTTTCAACATTCTCCATAGAAATCATTTTTTTCCAGGCATCCAACCTTCGCTTCTTAGACTTGAATCCTTTACCGTTCCTACCATAGCCCAGCTCTGAGCTAGAGAGGCTTCCATTCATTTAGCTGTTGAATTTTGTATCCTCCTGTACATTTTTTTGCTTTCTCATTTTCCATTGAAACAAGGATAGAACTGTTCAAAAGAAGTCCTAACCTGCTGCCAGAAGCCAAAACATGATAAGAGAAGATATCTCAATCATCATCCAGCTCACAAAGGCCAGGCAGACTGACATCTGGAATTTTGGGCAGTCTGGCACACTGTAGCCTCTCAAATCTCTGGTGTATAAAACAGTTACCCCTGCTGCAGAGGATGCTGCTGCTAGAGACAATGTAGCTGTGACCTGTAATAATACATCCAAAACCATTAGATGTTGACTTGAATAGAAACACAAGTTACTTGGATTCAATAAAAGAGCAAAGGCATTTTAGAAACTTTAAGTGAGGCTAACCCAGTCTCCAACAACAAAGAGGCTGACCAAAGTAGTATTGTGAAGGATCTTCTTTCTTGCCAAGGCGTATGCATCCAATGATGCAAGTCCAAAGCTCCAGATGACTTGCAAACCCATTGAAGCAATCAGGTAGCTGCAATGGACAACATAAAGTTCAGAATAAGATTATAAACCTCCACCTACAACAATGAACAGCATTATACTAAGACACAAAAATGAAAACTACAGGCAGTAGATCCAATAATTTAGAAAGATTAGCACTGTCTATGCTTTTAATCCCCTAAGACATGTTGAGGACAAATGATGCTGCTGTTTGGCACCGTGTGCATTTCAAGTAGCAATGCTGCCATCTCAGTAGACCTCTTGCTTTGAGACCATTTTGAGTTTAAAACAGCCAAAAAAAATGCTTTGCATAGAAATCCATGCAGGGATGTTTGAAGAAATGCCAAATTGATGCTCCTTGCTCCAAGGGGCAAAGTCTCAATGCTCTGGCTGAGGTGGCATCTGTTATGAAATCACAAACCTAAGATCTGAAACCAATTGGGAGAGTTTGAAGAAATGCCAAATTGATGCCCTTGTTCTATGGGGTAAAGTCTCAATGGTCTGGCTGAAGTGGCATCTGTCATGAAATCACAAACCCATGATCTGAAACCAATTTCTGGTGTTTGAAGAAATGTCAAATTGATGCTCCTAAAACAACTCTAAATGCCCATTAATAATCCTATTGCAACTAAAGCCAAAAATAAAATAAAATAAGTGCTATAAAAGTGTTAACCCGCTTATACCACTGCCTAGGAGACTGCTTTAACACACATGGTCTTCGTTACCTAAAACAAAGAAACCTTCCAGTTAATGCATGTAAAATTTCCCCTTAAGCTCACCATGTAAAAATGCTTTCTTGACATCAAGCTATTCAAGCTCCAAGTCAAATAAAGCAACTATAGCAAGCAACATACAATAAAACTTTGCTTCACAACTCGAAAAAGTACTTCATTTAAGTCAACACCTTCTCTTTGTGTAAAGCCCTTAGCCACTAAACATGCCTTGTACCTTGCATCTTCAACCACTGGGATTCCATCTTTCCTCTTGTAAACCCATTTGCACCCTACGATCCTCAGGCCTTGTGGTGGTCTCACAAGCTCCCAAGTTTGAGTCTTGTGGAGAGCCTCGATCTCTTCACTCATAGTAGTCATCCACTGAGAAGACCCATCACAAAAGATAGCCTCCCCATAAGAACATGGATCATGACCATCAATGTCCTCCACAAAGCAAATGCAACTAAATCATCATAACCGTATCTCTGAGATGGTCTTACTTGCCTCCTCTGTCTGCTTGTAGCAATACTATATCATTATTCCTCAGGTGCATCTTCAACTGAGGATCACGTAATTCATCATGAATAGGCTGAATTGAAGTACCTTCTCTCACTGTCTTTGGAGTTTCAACTTCTAACTCCTTGGTCCCTATCAATATCAACAGATCCATTTCCCTCATAGAGTGTAGCAGACTCATCAAAGGTCATATCCTTGCTAGTGATAAACTTGGGTGACTTGGGATCCGTACACCACAACTTGTATCCTTTCACCCCAACTACATAACCTAGGAGTATATATTTCTTTTCCCTAGGCCCAAGTTAATCATTTCACATGAGAACATAAAGGACAACCAAATATTTTCAATTTGAAAAAATCACCATGAGAACTAGACCATACCTCCTTAAAAGTCTTTTAACTCAATAAATGTTGAAAGAGATATATTAACCAAGTAGCAAACCATGTTTACAATTTCAACCTAAAACACTTTTGACAAACCAGCATGTGAGAACATGCAATGTACTCTCTCCAAGAGTGTTCTGTTCATCCATTCTGCAACACTATTCTACTGTGGTATTTTCTGATAGTATGGTGTTTAACTATTCACTCATTCTTCCAGAGGTCATCAAACTCACCTGAATAGAACTTCAAGCCATTATCTGTTCTCAAATGCTTTATTTTCTTACCAGTCTTCTTTTTAAGACAATGCACCTAGAACTTTCTTGAATAGTCATCAATAAATGTCAACAAATATTGTGAACCACCCTTAGATATAACTCTTGTTTTTCAAGACAATGCACCTAGAACTTTCTTGAATAGTCATCAATAAATGTCAACAAATATTGTGAATCACCCTTAGATATAACTGGAGAAGGACCACAAAGATTAGAGTGATAATCAATTGTACCTTTGGTTTTATGAATAGCTACACTAAACTTCACCCTGCACTAACATAACGCACATAGAAATCCAACTTACTAGACTCTGGCCACACAGCAAAACCCATTTGTTCAGCTTTGCCATACCCCTCTCACTCATATGCCCTAGACACATATGCCATAACTGACTGGAGACAAAATCAAATCAGCTAAAGAAGAGACATCAAAACGACCAATAGAGGCCACTAACTTCCCTTTCATCACAGCCAGAGCACCTTTAGAAACCTTCAAGACTCCACCTTCAATTGAAAAGTGATAACCAAGGGAATCTTCAATGCTCAAAGATACGAGGTTTTTCTTTATTTTTGGAACATGCCGAACCTCCAATGTTCTAACAATACTATCATACATCTTAATCTGAACTGTGCCCACACAAACAACAGAGAGCCCTTTGTTGTTCCCCAACAACACTGTACCACCATTCGCTGCCTTGTAGATGGAAAACCATTTTTTATCGGGAAACATGTGAAAATGTACAACCTGAATCACGAATCCACTCATCACCTGAGCAATTGATAGACACTTCAAAAACATTTTCAGCATTAGCAACATTTACAGCTTTAGAGTTCTTTTAGACTTCTTCCTTTTATCTTTGCACTTTGGACAATTCTTTCTTATGTGCCCAACCTCGTGATATTCATAAAACTTAACTTTCTGAGACTTAGATTTGACCTTGATTTGTCTAATTGTCTCTCACACCTGATCCCTTATCTTTTGTTCTACCTCTCGCAATCAAGCCATCTACCTGATTCTCAATCTAATTGACACCCGTCTTTTCAACTATTTAGAGTTCAAAGCTGTTTTAACATCATCCAAAAAGATACTATCTCCCCCATACAATATGGTATCAACAAAATGTTCAAATGAGGAGGTAACAAACATAGCATGATAAGGGTCAGATCTTCATCTTCAACTTTTGCTCAATATTTCTCCAATCAAGTATTATTCTATTGAGTTCATCAAGATGGGTCTTTAACAACTATACCTTCTTTCCTCCAGAGAGTTTACAACATTGTTTCAAACACAACCAGTTCATCAAGGATTTGGTCATGTAGAAGGATTCCAGTTTAAGGCATAACCTATCTGTTGAAGTCTCCTCTACAACCTCTTCAACACCTCATTGGACAGGCAAAATTGAATCAACCAAGGTGCATTCTTTAGAAGATCCTCCATTTCGTCTTCAGACATCATTGTTGGTAACTGGTAAGGCTTTCTTCTCTTTCAAATTATGGGACACAAATATGCAGCAACCCAAGTCCGGCACATCCACCATAGACCTCAATGAATTTTCCCCTTCAGCTTCTCCTCCACAAATGTTGGGTTGGGTCATGGTGGGCCACAAATGTTGGGTTGGGTCTTGGTGGGTCTTTTAGCCAACCCACCACCACCTTGGAGTCCTTCTATTACCAAACTCTCCACACCTGACTCTTTTGCAATCTGAGTGCCTTGTAGGAATTGATATAGTTCTGCCTTTGGAAAGTCTCCATTCCCCATTGGTCCTGAAAAGAGTGCTCTTAAATTCCCTTCCTTGTCTCTTATAGCCCCTCCTATTCCAAATGGACCTAGGTTGCCTTGACTGCTCCCATCAAAGTTTAGTTTCAGAAATATCTTCAATGGGAGGTGTCCAAACCATCCTTGCTTTTACCTTCTGTACTGAACTAGAAGCAAACAAAATCCAATTCCTCCAAATATCATTGAAAGAGAAAGTTTTGAACAGGTCCAAAGTTTGTAGCCAATGTATAACCCTGGTCATTACACACTCCATAATTTGTTGTTTGCTTCTTTCCTTCTCTTGGAAGATTTTGGCATTTCTTTCTTCCCATAGTGTCTAGACCACTACTACTCTAATGCACCTCCACATTATTTTTCCCCTTCTCTTTGGCAAAGCTAAGGTAGATGGATCAAACAACATTTTAATCTCCATTGGAATATTCCACCTACACCCAAAGAAAGAAAAAAACCAATCCCAAATTTCTATAGCAAATGAGCAGGAGATTAGTAAGTGGTCACCATCAGATTTACATAGAGTGCACTAATTTGGGAAAATACACAGAAAAGGTCTCTTCTTTTGCAAGGAACCTAGAGTGTTAATTTTCCCAAAAGCCACTTCCCAACAAAAAGCCTTAATTTTAGGGGGAATCAACTGAAATCAAATTTCTTTCCAAGGAAAGGACAGAGAGGAAGGGGACTAGCAAAGAGCTTTACAAAAGGAAGCACAAGAAAATAAACCTTTAGGACTTGGGCACCAAACTCTTCTATCTAGTTTAGAGAGCTCTAAGTAGAGATTATCAAGAAGAAGAAGAAGCTTTGAAAGACAAATAGCCTCCTCATCTCTCAACCCTTGTCAAAACCCAAAGTCCTAATTAAGACTCATAGGCAAAGAAGGACAAGAAAATTCGAAATCACCTCATTTTTATACAAAGAGAAGAATACAAAGAAGGGAACAATTCCTTTAAAGGTTGGCTACCAAACCAAATATCTTCCCAAAAATGAATTAAGTTCCTTAAGCAAACACCATACCTGATATACCTGAGGAACTGAGGGAGGAGGCTATGAATTGCTTTCCAAGGTGCTGCCAAGGTAGCCCTTCATGATACACCAACATCCCAACCATTCTCCAATCTCCCATGTATTCTAGCCACTATCTCAATCCACAAATTTTCCCTCTCTAAAGGCCATCTCCATAACCATTTCCCTAAAAGAGTTGTATCCTTCTTTCTTATTGTTATCGGGTTTGTATTTAATTAAATAAATAAAAAGAAGGCTTCTGGTATGAGCCTAGAAGGAGAAGGGATGAAGAAGAAGAAGAGGAGAAGGGTCGAACAGAATAAGGCTTTGTAGTTTCTTTCGAAGAAGAGAACTGCCGCCCAGAATGCTTAATT